GTGGGCGCCATGTCACCTTCCGTCGAGTGCTGTGTCGCAACTTAGTGCTCGCAAGAAATAAGTGAGCATCTTCAGACACATGAAGTAACCGCTCACCGTTATCATTACGGTAACCTACGCCATGTTGGCCACTCAGCTAAAGCTCTTCGGTGGACAATTTTCCAACTTTAGCCTTCAGATCTCCTAGCAGCACTTCAGTGTTCGTGCTTCTTCTTTAACGAAGGAGTTCGTTCATTTGGCGGTGTAAGTCGTATTTTACCGAGTCATCGCTACATTTTGTGGGGGCGTAGGCAGCTATGACAAACAGACACCTGTTAGTTCGACACGACTTCGAAGCTTTGAACGAGCCATCCAGTCGAACCGCACACATCCGGCTACTGATTGGGATCCAGTAAACCAAAGCAGCTTCAATTTGGCAACTCGGAACAATACCAACACCAGCTTGACCGGTGCTCGAAGCTGCATCGTCACCGGATAGGCGCAGTGAGAAAATACCGCTGGTGTCCCCTGAAGGGGATTGCAAAATGCGCACAGTGCTCCAGTCTTGCAGACGCGTTTCCGATAAGCAACAGATATCAATCCAGAGGGTCTATAATGTTCGGGTAGGTGCTTCCTGTTTACCGATCTGTGTTAATGTGGGTACGTTGAAGCATGCCAATCTGAGGGAGCATCGAGGGCTCCAAATAGAAGTGGAGGAACTGGTTTCGACCGCTTGGCAATAGAACAGGAAGGACGCTGCGCGTTTGTATGTGTGTTGAAACTATAAGATAAATGCCTATCAAAGCAAAGTGAGTGAGGGCCACGAAATCGGGGTGTTTAACCCGGGGGATAAATGTGAAGTTGGAACGGGACGATAAGAGTGGAAAGTGTACAAGTGCGAACAACATGACGTGAAGCCTTGGGCACTAGCATACAAATCTTATATCTACCCTGCTCGATGCAACAGATAGGGCGCCAAGTATTGTCCTCTGCGACGGCCAGAACGTCAAGAAATCCTTTATGACTCAGAGTATGACTGAACGCCTGTTTACTTCCACCTTGAAAACACAGAAGCGAATGCTCAGCACAAGGTCTATTGATACAAGACCGGGCGAAATGTGGAAGAAAACACGCCAAGACCAGTCGTCTATTGTCGATTACATCTTTGGTTAAATTGGACCTCGGATGCACGAATGGTGTGCGTTTTATGTGAAACAGGCGACAGGAACCAATGTACCGCAGCACACAAACATTGTTCGGATTGTAGGCACTATTCGGTCCGACACAAAACACGATTTTATGTTGTAAAATAACAAACACACTTTCTGAACAACTCCATGTTCCGTTTTTGTATACATTTACGAAATATCGAAGCATTTCTTTTGGCACCAGCCAATTTACTCTTCCTTGGCATTTCGTCACTGTGTTCCATTATAACTCTACTTTCTTCTCACAAAACGAATTGTTAATTATACTAATGTTTGCGTGGGTATACCTGTAGACATGTAGTTGGCCTCCGGATCTGATCAGTTACAACGTCCCGGTTGCAAATTCCTTTCCTCCGACATTGTAGCGCACTCCTAGTCAGACACGCGCGGAGTTCTATGGTGTCTAACGAAACTATTCAAGAGAAGATCAAGCGGTAGAGATTAGCTATCTGCGTTCTCCGTAATACTAGTAGCTTACAACTGGTTTGCTTGGCTAGTCCAAATTAAAGCTTCTACCTTAATTTTGTAGATCACCCTTCATTTTCTGCTCTGAATCGAGCCTGGTGTCTATAGCGGCCTACTCATTTCGATAATATCTAACCAAGATCTCTCGTTGTAAAAATGACGTTTTTGCCTTCTTTTTCGTTGATTTTAATACCTCTCCATTTTCACATTTCTCTGTGGGCTAATGATCCCCGGCAGTAGCGAATTAACGGTGCTAATTTTCCTTCCCATAAGAGCCTCTGCGGGTGACACATTGTTTGACACCTGAGGGTTCGGGGCTGGTCTGTACATAAACAGGAAAATACTCAACATCGGTGTGGTTCTCTCACCCCCCCCCCATTTTTAGTTCTGTTCGTTTAAACAAGCCAACGAAACGTTCCGCTTGTCTATTGGGTTGTATGTGGAACAGGGGTGAGCGCAAATGTATACTATCAACCTGTGCTCAATAGTCGCTAAATTGGTAAGAACTAAATTGCGAACCATTATCGGTGACCGGGGTCTTCGGTATTCCATGCTGGCTGAAAAATGTGCGCCGTACTTTGATGGTTGCACCACTGGTTGTGTGCTCCATTCGGAAGCCCTCAGGCCATTTCCTGTAAAATTCCTCGTCCATGAGGAATTGCTGTCCATTGACTGGTCCAAAGAAATCAGCACGTATGCGTTCCTAGGGTTTCATCGCTGATGGCCAAGGGGATAATTCTGCTTTCCACAATGACTTACTGACAAGCACACATTTTGGACACGCCTTCACCCAGTGCTCGAGCACCGCGTCGATGTTTGCCCAGTAAATAAAACTTCACACAATCATTTTCATCGTGCTAATCCTAGGATGGACTCGATGAAACTGTCGTAGAATTCGTGGGCGTGTTTCCTCCAGAATGTCAAATCATGCTAAGAGCAAACATCCATTAACGACTGGTAGTTCATTTTTCCTTAGGAACAACTAGTGTAGCTCACCTGGAAGGTTGTCTTTCGGTCTCCGTGCGGGGTGGTATTTGATCGCTTGTCGAATGATTGGATATCGGAATGATGCGGCCCGTACCATGATCCATGTAAAAATTTAAGCATTTTCTAGACACCCACGTTGCGGATCGCAAATTTAAGGAGGGCATCGCACCTGAGTAGCCTATAGCACATCTGTCATATGTTGCAAATGCACAGGAATCAGTGACGTGATTCCGCGCAACTTTCCGACCTAACTACGATGGGGCAATACCGATGTGCATCTACTAGCTCTCTACTCTTACTTATCATTGTTCTCACAATTGACTGATGCAATTTTGAAAACAGAGTCACCTGAATTTATTAAGTCGGCTCAACATTCGCAAACACCATTTATTCAAAAGGTTCGCGCTCTTAGTGTTGAGGCTGTCTTGCTTAGTAGATAGCCTACAGAGACACTAGACGAATTGGAACTGTTCACCTTTCGTCCGACGAGGCTGAGCTCATACGACAGTCAGGTAATCAGGGTTTTGCGTGTAGCTCCACCACGCAACCATTTTCTTCGTTACTGAGAATTTTCCATGGTGTTCAACACCTTAGTGTATATGATATATTTGTCCCGGTACTTGATCAATCTTGTACTTGACATAATGACTACAAACAAATCTTCCTTGCCAATACACGTTTTGGTCACTAAAGCTTCTTCATAGATATACGCACATTACTTCGGACGAGTTTATTGTGTGATTCACCTACTTCTAGTCCATGAATTTCATCTAGTTTCCCAGGTTCTTTCCGGGACAACAATCGCGTAGACGCGCTCAGTTTTCACTATCTTTGGTATTTCAGAGGCGGTTCTAACTGGAAATAGCATACCATTTATCTAAAGCATATTTAAAACATGCTTCAGAAACACGGAACATATGTTGATTCGCTTTCTCATCGAACTACCGTTAGAGCCTGCGGTCCACACAGTTTAGTAACCCTTTCCTGCCTAGAATCTCGGTGGTTTCCAAGCGCATCTGGATCAACTCTTGTTCACGTACCATACACTACCGACTGAGCCGTCAGAGCAGTGTCAGCATCTGAGATTCTGTCGGATTCTATGAACAGCGTGAGGACGAAACATAAGTATCGCAAATGGTGACAGCAAGCTGAGGGGTGTGTCCCAAGAAAGTGCCTGCAGCGTTCATAAGACTTCCTCACGTAACAATAATAATATTAATATAATAATAATAATAATAGTCAGTTGTACGCCGTAACAGCGCTTCGCTGCCACGCGACAACCACCAGTTGCGCGTGGGCTGAGTATACCGCGAAGACGCCTACCCCTACGCCAATTCGAATCGGCGAACTTATTGTTGCAAACCAGGCGCACAGATCACTGCAGTCTTCTGCGGATAGCCACTCAAAGCGTCATCTAGTTGACCACAAATTCTTGTGCTAACACTTACACTACGTCCAAGCACGCTCTACGACAGTCGTCATTCACCACGGAAAATCTGGAATACGTATGTCGCCAGCGCACTCGCAACAACTCAAACTGTAGCAATCCAAACATTCATCTTAGCGAGTTGACTGAAACTGATCCAGCCAGCATCGGTTGTTTGTGTCATGCGGAGCGTAACCGATGGAAATAATGGCGAACACAACAGTTCGCCTGATTGGAAAGCGTATGACCTTGTTTCTCCCCTGGCTTAATATTTTTAATTAATAATGAAACGGATGCCTTGGATTTACTTTTCGAAAGAAATTGCTCACAGCTCTTTACTTAGTCACGTTGGCTGCGAATCGCTCCCTGTGAATCAGTGTTAACTACGCTTTCTCAGGAGTAAATTCGCGAATTCTAGCCCAACCGCGGACAAATGGAATATTCGCTGTTGACGATTCTCCGAATGTATGAAACGACTGTTCCTTCTCCTACCGGATATGTGTTATGATCGCCTGACTGATTGAAAAGTGAACCTCCTCCGAAGAGTTGTTATCTCTCAGTAGGAAACTTTTGCCAAATGTGTACTTTAGGTCGTTTATTTTGGCTGTGTTCCGTTGCATTTTGGGCTACGATCCTCAGCTGCTTGGTACATTCTGATCCTGCCAGTGAGACATCGTGCAGTTACCGCATGCGCAATTTCACAGCTTTCCATATGGAACCGTTCAGTATTACCACCTTGTTTTTAGCAGTGCTCTCAAAAGCCACACGTGGATTCACAGTTTAATTTAGTTTATGGTTTTAAGGCCATTTTCTATCCGCACTAAGGATTTGATAACCCCCTCTTCTTTGTCCCCATAGTTGGTTACTGATATTGTGCAGCATTTGTGTCATACATCCAATCTTTCCTGTATTTGTTCTATTCTCATACTTTTCAGTTTCTGTACATGAGTGGGCCCTAGTCTTGTACGGCACAAACACACCGCCGCCCTTGCACGGGTCATCACATCGACGTGATGTCCGTCAGCTTCCGAAAATTGCTCTGAAGTCTGCTCCACATTCATCCTTTCCAGCGGAAGAAGCGAACACTCCTCGAAGTAGCAGTCACACGCCATATCACCTTCCTCCAACTCAAGGATCTTATCCTGCTCTGATTCCCGGTTATCCTCTTGAGTACACACCACTAGTGGATAGCGCGTCAAAAGAGAACGGCTTGAACCCGTTTTTTAAATTTTCCCCTCATCTATATCCTTTTTGGCCAAATTGGCACCCAGTTAACCCCCTGCTTCCTCCATCCCTCCCTTCCTCTCCTCGACCTCTATTGATGTCTTCTCAACTAAATCCAATCGTTTCTCCGGCGTCGGTCCGTTTATCTGGTGGTACTACTGCCCCAGCTATTGCGGACTCTGGTGAAAAGAAACTGGAGTCTGTCCTCACAGAAAACACTCACTTCTTCGATCTCAAATTACCTCCTTTAAGAACCAACCACCTGGATAACCCAGACACACACCAATCGGCCGCTGGTTACACATATCATTCAGGAGTGTTTGGTGGTGGTACCCATGCACCGGTGGAAGAGGCAGTAGCAGAAAAACCCAACAAGGCGCTCACTCACTCGGTCTCAAACTCCTTTCCCCGACATCCTGTTCTGTGCATTTCGATTGTGGCATTTTTCGTTTGGGCGATTTCATAAGATTTTGCGTAGATCGCTTGTCTAAACCTTGAGGTATCATCCTGATGTACAGTTACCAAGTTTATACATGCCTAGTTTCTTCTTATTTCCTTTGCATTTTTATATTCTGCCGATGATTTCAGATCGTTGCTTGTTTACATACATGTGCACTATATTCACTGCTCTGATTCCTTCACACCATTGAAGAGCATTCAGTGGCGTACAACAACACAGCTTAGGGGCTGCTCACTTGTTTACACAAATTCGCATTTTCTCTCCTGCCATCTTGTCCCGTTGTGGTTCTTTAATGTGAGTAACGTTGTTTACCGGTCGCATTCGTGACTTGTTCCTTCCGTTTCTCCATGGAATTTTGTGCAGGTATTATCTTTCATTTTTCTCTACTTATTGTCTTTTCCGCGCATGTTTCTTCGTCATCGTGGTTTACTGTCGATATCCATCTCGCTTTATACTTTATTTTTCTTCAGTTAATGTATAGAGTGGGAGTACTCCTTTTTTGAATCTTTTTCTTGTGTATACGCATCTAATCTCTTCATTCGTTTTATATTTCGCCGCACTACCTCAATTTTACTCGATGATTATCCATTTTTGTGAAGTTACCTATCGCTTAACTTCAGCACTTATGGACCACAATGCGACGTTTTTTTGCGTTTATGTAATCTTAATCATATCACTTACCATGGTATTGTGGATGGGGGGTGTCCATTTCGTTAACCCCCATTCCAACAAGTGGTTTGCATCTGCTGCACCGAGAAAAGAGTAACGCATGGAAGAAACAGCGCGCCAATCGTGGGCACCGCGTTTGATGTCCAGCATGCACCCCTCTAACCGATCAACAAATTTAACTACCAGCGTGCACCCAGCCAGTCAATCACCATACTCTCAGGACCAATAGCCCGTCCTTCCTTCACGCAGTTCCAAGCTCACTCGTGTCTCCAAACTCTCCTATACTACTAGGGACGCCCGCTTTCCTAAATCAGCCTGTTCCTGCAAGCCTGCCTTTACTACACCACCAATACTGTAGACCGCACTTAGATGTAATCTCGACTTTCTTACTGACGAGCAACCTCTACGCAACATTAAACCAATTGCTTCCAACCCTTTCACATATCTGTGGAGCAAAGTAACTGACACAATCAAAGAACTGTCATTTCCGCCTACCCGGCAGAACAAAAGAGCAGGCTTGCATCAGCTGTATTGATATAATGCATACGACACAATTAAATGATTTATAACTCACAACTACACCGACGTGTACTCTTTTGAACAAGGTTCCTCGGAAACTAGGAAATCCCATGTTATACCTTGGATGTTTTGGTCAGTTTTGTCTTAGACGATTGGCAAAGAACAAAAGGTAACCGATCACCACAACTCACTCCCAACTAAGACCCGCTAATAGAATGTGCTGAGATAGTTTAGTTGGATAGTCCAAGCATACGTTATCTAATTTAAAGTTAAGAAAACACCGATACACCAGGATAGTTATGGTGTCCCATTCGAATCGGTAGCAATGCAGGAAAAGGCGAACGCCATTCGAAGTTGAGGACGACATGAATGTGTACCGACCTATTCAGGCAATCGCATGCAGATGGGCACCTCAGATTTTTCAAAGAACTTTGCCGGCACGCCTCAATGGAACGTGGGAATTGTCGGCCCACTGCACTGCTGACTCGCTTTTGTCGCATGTTCGGCTATATTGATGACTTGGTAAGTTCTTCATGCGCTCGTTTTCTACAACATGCATAAGAAGTGCTTGTTCCTTTAGTGTTAATTCGTATCTAGGTAATTGATGACTGCGTGGATAGTGAACGAAAATCGTTGTCTTCCATATCCAACTCTTGCTACCAAGCAAAATGTACTCCTCCCTGAGTCACTAAAGATAGTGCCGGACGTTTACGCTGCCGCTATACTGTCGGTTCGGATGGTAGTATGCGTCCGGTCGAGGGCTTCCGGTTCCGGAGCGTACGTAGATCGCATTAGACCTAGGGGGCTAAAAGGCAAACGAGATACTTCGTAGGCGGCTGGGCCATCACCGAGTAAGTGTCGGAGCTGGGTGGGCAGTGTGCTTGTGTCACATCGGTTGGCTAGTTGGGCGGTACTGTCACAGCTACCGATAGAGAACCGAGCGCGGGACGACTAGATGGATGGCGTAAAAGCACACACAATAGGTGGATACACCAATCACATCGAAGACGGAATGGGAAAACAAAGAGACGATGAAACGACGATCACAATATAAGCTATGCTCGACGACAACTTGCCTGTTGACTTGCTACTACGACACTAACGTGCTACAGTAGGTTAGAACAAGTACGATATGTTCGTCAAGGAAACAACCTGTACATTTTGTTCGCCGTAGCTAGTCGTGGAGAAGTACAAAGCACTAAGCTAGGCATTTAGCTACTACGCTCAAGAAAGGAATGCCTGAGTTGTGAAAGAGATCAGCGTCGATGCGCTATCAAATTGAACTATGAACGTCAATGGTGCGTTCAAACAAAGACATAGAACATGGTTGTAACCATTACGGAATTCTGAATATATTGTGTTCTAATGCTTTCAGATAAGCGATAGGTTTGGACTTGATAAAGCGAGTAACATATTGGTACGGATCCAACTTCTTAACTTATCATCATATGCTAGTTCACATTTTCCACGATTACTCGTGCTGTACTGACTGCAGTCCCAGTTGAATAAACGGCTTGGTATTAGCAACTATCAAATACATGTTTCTGAACAGAGCAATCCGAATTTGTGTTCTGTTGACAAAACGGCATTTTTCCAACCAGGGCGGTGCATCCCCAATCTACCGAAATGTTCCTGCACAACGAATCACGTACTACAGTGCGCAGTATAATAAGATTCTCTCAAAAAATCATCAATGTCATGGGAACAGTATAACCAAAAATATCCATATTCCGAGAAAACTATGTATCCCTAGTTGACATTACAAAAGCGATATTCCAGTGAAAAGGCGGCAACGTCTCGCAGGTTGTGAAAATCAGAAATACGGGCTTGAAAGGATGGTGGTTAAGCATATCGGTAAGGGTTAGGGTTAGCTCCTTACTCCAAAATCCCGGATCCAAAGTTTTTATGAGAACGAAGTTGGGTATGTAGGCATGGTAAATGTTAGGATTATGGTTGGCGGCACCTGAATCCGGATTTGCCTGTCGCTGCGGCCTCCATAAGCAGTCATAAAACGCGTATGCGTTCAGAGTGACCATGGGTGACTTGCGCTGAACCACGCACAACTTCATCCACACGACCCATATCCTGTGTCAATTCGAAAGAATAACACTTGGCGGCATGTCGATCGGCGCCACATTTCATTACTGGAGCCGGCCCACACTCCTTCAACATGCATAGCGGAAGCATTACTGCATATCTAATTTGGGAGCCATGCGTGCCAGACGTGCACAAAGCGGTGGCCGGGTCGTAGCCCGTTCCACACTGGATGCATGGAACCACACATTGAATGAAGCACCATCACGAGGACCGTGCACCCCGTCTATCCAAACATGGACCAATTTTCGCCTGGAGCCATTGTCAGCGATGTAGCTTTTTCGACATGTAGACAACTTGTCAACATTCGCATCAAGCACAACCACTCCGGGGATATCAGACAACCAACATAGAATTTACAGGAAAATAAACACGCCAAATTGACACTGAATCTGCAGCAAAATAACTGAACGGAGCAAATCAAATAATGTGATGTACCTTATATCCAGGTTAAGAATATTTGCTTTAAGTGTAATTTGGTGTTGCCCAACTGGGGTGCAGAAGCATGTACGCAACCTTAACCTTAATATCACGCAAGATTTATAAGTAATCCCATTAGTTCCTCATTTGTATAGTGCACCACCCAATGAAGTTATACCATATGATAAATTAACTGTTAGACCACTTATCACCATGTACTGGTTAGTGTTTCAGAAACAATAACAAACGTGAATTTTCTGTGTGGTACTCACTAGTGGACTAGAAACACAGTATCCAAACTCCCAATTCCTGTCATATGTGCAGCTAGCGCTGCGTGATAAAGGCCCCGCCTCAGTAGCAGTACGGCGCTCCTCCCAGTATTTTGAGATATCGTCCCACCAGTCTGCAGCGCGAAAATTCAAATAAAAAGATGGACGAAAAATGCATAATTTCGTTCAAATAAGCTCTTAATATCCATATCTTACAATTAACAATTATTTAATGGGATTTGCATTTTTGGATTGGTTCAATATGCGCATAACTCAGAAAACATGTGTGAATCAACGGGTGCACCGTTGCGGTAGGTGATAAATGATAAAATGGGCAACTTCTAGTGTGTGCACGGTTCTCAATGTCAGAGGTGTGTGTTCACATGGTTGCTTTTAAGTGAATATGTTGCGTTCCCATAGCCAAAAATTAGATACTGGGGTCGAAAACAGAAATTGTATTAAAATACAAAACTTTATCAATTGCACATTAAAATACAGCGGTCACATTTTTTCGACAAAAATTTGTGCAATCAACTGTTGTCCACAGTTTGTCCATAAAATGCGTTTGCAACCAGAGATTCTATGAAAATCTCCCCTGGGATTTCAGAATAGTGGAGTTACCGTATTTCGAAAGTTACCTGCCACATCACTGGAATTCTTATACTGGTAAATCTCTCCATGGATCCTAGAAATTCCCTGCTGCGATTTTCCATAACTCTGTCATTCTCTTTGCTTTGGCAAACTGATGGAAAGATCGGCACCTCTCACACACTCCAAAAAAATGTACTTTGTAGGCCTCCAATAGTGAATCTGGGGTATGTTACTCATTCAGCAATTTGCACTACTGGGAGTCGCACTTCACAATCTGTGGATGCGACTACGGCCGTAGAGCACTCAAGCTGTCAGCTCATTCGCAAGCTGCATGCCACTCTTGGTCACTTCGAATCTAGCAGTCCGCGTCGTTCAACCATACCTGCGACGAATGGCGCAAACTGGGTCAATGGAGCAATAGTTTTATACTGGTAAAAAAGCTAAGGCTTAACAGTTCCAGTAGGATGGTCATGATGAAAATTTATTCGCAAACAGGTGGACTCACCGCAATATATGTAGTTTAAAATTTAAAACCACTGTAAGTCCATAAGAATGAGGACAAATGGTCCCATAGTGAACTTTGTGCCGCTCTTGGTAAACTCAAAGCAAGTACAAAGGGTGGAACGTATGGTTGGAGTCTACCGGCAGTAAAATCTCTAACGAGCAGTTGTGTTTTGGCATGGGCAATGAGTCATATGATCTCATAAATCGGAATGATTGTGCGGTCATTTCAGGCTATGAACTCTGCCAGCGTGGGAGCACAGATGACAGACTCCGGTAGGATATTCCATGCTTTGCAAACGCGTAAGGAAAAGAAATTCCGACAGCATTCCAAACGACTCTATCGCTCAGCCAGCTTGAGATCGTGGCCTCTCGAATTACTGTTGTTACCGAGCTCTAGCAAATGTTGGCACGTGTGGTTAAGATCTCGCAAAATCTGGTAAGTCAAAACGAGATCCCCACGCAATCGCCTATATATAGTCCATTGAAGACTTCGAGCACTCGAAGCCTTCGTTCATACGACAAATGATACAAACCTTTGACATTCTTGATCATCCGGATGCCAAACCTCTATTGAGTATTCCACATGTGAACGTATGTATGAGCCGAAAAGCTGTTTCAAAATCGAAGGATGGAATAATCCGAAAAGATGACTCAGATTGGCCTACATGTTGGAGGCGTCTCCGTGACGCTGTTTTAGCCTGATTCGAGCATCTAATGTCAGCCTGGACCAAAAGGCCCAAATACTTGTCGCCGGCAAACCTTTTATTCTGGTTGCTGAGTTTTGTAGGATCACACCACCTGGTTCCCTAACTGCAGCAATCTACGTTTGTCCACATTAAACCGAAGTAGGTTTTCCGATTGACCAAGCCTAACCCCTATCCAGGTCAGCTTGACGTAATGTGATATCATCTGGTGTATTGATCACCCTCCACACCTTGATGGCATCGGCATAAAGCAGACAGTCCAAGCTTATGACGCACGTGATATGGTTGATATAGGTTAAAAATAATTGCGGTCTCAGTAAGGATCCTTATGGTACTCCGCATTCAGCTTCGCTGGAATCTGATAGGGATGCACACACTCGTACCTCCAAGCAACCGTGTTGGAGAAAGCTTCTGATCCACTCTAGAAGAGTATCACCACTGCCAACGATTTTGGGGTTTGGAGAGCAGAATATCAT